TGGTATTCACGCTATGAATATGTGTAACATTACATTCGAGATTCATTAAGAATAAACCATTGACCATCGGAGCATGACCATAAAATATATCTCTCATATAAATAGAACAACCATTATTCTTGGATTTAAATGAGTAGCCATCTCGTATCAAACGAGATCCAGATACAATGTTCATGCTCAATCTTGGCACCAAATAACAATTATTAAGGTTCAAAACTAATCCCGTAGGTAAATGTAGAGGTAGAGTGCCGACGGCGATCACATCGACTCTGGAACCATTCCCGACGTGCATCGTCACCTCGTCCTTCGCCAGTCTCCGCTTATTCCGCAGCTCCTGCTCTCAGTTACAAATATGAGCAACGACACCGGTATCAAATACCCAGGAGTTACTACGAGTACTAGTAAGGTACACATCAATTACATGTATATCAAATATACCTTTGGTGTTGCCGGCCTTCTTATCCGCTAAGTATTTGGGGCAGTTCCGCTTCCAGTGACCCTTCCCCTTGCAATAAAAGCACTCAGTTTCAGGCTTGGGTCCATTCTTTGACTTCTTCCCGGCAACTGGCTTACCGGGCGCGGCAACATCTTTGCCGTCCTTCTTGAAGTTCTTATTACCCTTGCCCTTCTTGAACTTAGTGGTCTTATTGACCACCAACACTTGATGTTCTTTCTTGATTTCAACCTCTGCTGACTTCAGCATTGAAAATACTTCAGGAATGGTCTTCACCATCCCCTGCATAGTGTAGTTCATCACAAAGCTCTTGTAGCTTGGTGGGAGCGACTGAAGGATTCTGTCAATGACCGCCTCATCCGGGAGGTTAATGTCCAGCTGGGACAGGCGGTTGTGCAACCCAGACATTTGAGTATATGCTCACTGACAGAACTATTTTCCTCCATCTTACAACTATAGAACTTGTCGGAGACTTCATATCTCTCGACCCGGGCATGAGCTTGGAAAACTAGTTTCAGCTCCTCGAACATCTCATATGCTCCATGTTGCTCAAAACACTTTTGGAGCCCCGGTTCTAAGCTGTAAAGCATGCTGCACTGAACGAGGGAGTAATCCTCAGCGTGAGACTGCCAAGCATTCATAATGTCTTGGTTCTCTGGGACGGGTGCATCACCTAGCGGTCCTTCTAGGACATATTGTTTCCTGGCAGCTATGAGGATGATCCTCAGGTTCCGGACCCAGTCCGTATAGTTGCTGCCATCATCTTTCAGCTTGGTTTTCTCCAGGAACGCGTTGAAGTTCATGTTGACATGAGCGTTGGCTAGTTGATCTACAAGACATATTTGCAAAGGTTTTAGACTAAGTTCATGATAATTAAGTTCATCTAATCAAATTATTGAATGAACTCCCACTCAGATTTGACATCCCTCTAGTTATCTAAGTGTTACATGATCCGAGTCGACTAGGCCGTGTCCGATCATCATGTGAGACGGACTAGTCATCATCGGTGAACATCTCCATGTTGATCGTATCTTCTATACGACTCATGTTCGACCTTTCGGTCTCTGTGTTCCGAGGCCATGTCTGTACATGCTAGGCTCGTCAAGTTAACCCTAAGTGTTCTGCATGTGTAAATCTGTCTTACACCCGTTGTATGTGAACGTAAGGATCTATCACACCCGATCATCATGTGGTGCTTCGAAACGACGAACTTTAGCAACGGTGCACAGTTAGGGGGAACACTTTCTTGAAATTATTATAAGGGATCATCTTATTTACTACCGCCGTTCTAAGTAAACAAGATGCATACAACATAATAGACATCACATGCAATTATATAGTAGTGACATGATATGGCCAATATCATATAGCTCCTTCGATCTCCATCTTTGGGGCTCCATGATCATCTTCGTCACCGGCATGACACCACGATCTCCATCATCATGATCTCCATCATTGTATCTTCATGAAGTTGTCACGCCAACGACTACTTCTACTTCTATGGCTAATGCGTTTAGCAATAAAGTAAAGTAATTTACATGGCGTTCTTCAATGACACGCAGGTCATACAAAAAATAAAGACAACTCCTATGGCTCCTGCCGGTTGTCATACTCATCGACATGCAAGTCGTGATTCCTATTACAAGAACATGATCTCATACATCACAATATATCATTCATCATTCATCACAACTTCTGGCCATATCACATCACATGACAATCGCTGCAAAAAAACAAGTTAGACGACCTCTAATTGTTGTTGCATCTTTTACGTAGCTGCAATTAGGTTCTAGCAAGAACGTTTTCTTACCTACGAATAACCACAACGTGATTTTGTCAACTTCTATATACCCTTCATGAGGACCCTTTTCATCGAATCCGCTCCAACTAAAGTGGGAGACACAGACACCCGCCAGCCACCTTATGCAACTAGTGCATGTCAGTCGGTGGAATCGGTCTCACGTAAGCGTACGTGTAAGGTTGGTTCGGGCCGCTTCATCCCACAATACCGCTGAAGCAAGATAATACTAGTAGCAGCAAGCAAGTTGACAAGATCTACGCCCACAACAAAATTGTGTTCTACTCGTGCAATAGAGAACTACGCATAGACCTAGCTCATGATGCCACTGTTGGGGAACGTTGCAGAAAATTAAAAATTTTCCTACGGTTTCACCAAGATCCATCTATGAGTTCATCTAAGAAACGAGTCATGGGAGATGCATCTACCTACCACTTTGTAGATCGCGAGCGGAAGCGTTCAAAAGAACGGGGTTGAAGTAGTCGTTCTCGTCGTGATCCTATCACCGGAGATCCTAGCGCCGAACGGATGGCACCTCCGCGTTCAACACACGTACGGGGCGGATGACGTCTCCTCCTTCTTGATCCAGCAAGGGGGAGGGAGAGTATGATGATGATGGCTCCAGCAGCAGCACAACAGCGTGGTGGTGGTGGAACAGCAGCACTCCGGCAGGGCTTCGCCAAGCACGTGACGGAGGAGGAAAAGGTGTAGCAGGGGGAGGGAGGCGCCAGAACTTCAGGGTGCGGCTGCCCCTTCCCCCTCCCTTTATATAGGCCCCCAGGGGGGGCGCCGGCCCTGGGAGATCCAATCTCCCAAGGGGCGGCGGCCAAGGAGGGTGGAGTACCCCCCAAGGCAAGTGCCCCCCCCACCCTAGGGTTTCAACCCTAGGCGCAGGGGGTGGGCCAAGGGGGGCGCACCAGCCCACTATGGGCTGGTTCCCCTCCCCACTTCAGCCCTTGGGGCCCTCCAGGATGGGTGGCCCCACCCGGTGGACCCCCGGGACCCTTTCGGTGGTCCCGGTACAATACCGGGTGACCCCGAAACTTTCACGATGGCCGAAATATCACTTCCTATATATAATTCTTCACCTCCGGACCATTCCGGAACTCCTCGTGACGTCCGGGATCTCATCCCGGACTCTGAACAACCTTCGATATACTGCATACTCATATTCATACAACCCTAGCATCACCGAACCTTAAGTGTGTAGACCCTACGGGTTCGGGAGACACGTAGACATGACCGAGACGGCTCTCGGGCAATAACCAACAGCGGGATCTGGATACCCATGTTGGCTCCCACATGCTCCTCCATGATCTCATCGGATGAACCACGATGTCGAGGATTCGAACAACCCCGTATACAATTCCCTTTGCCAATCGGTACGTTACATGCCCGAGACCCGATCGTCGGTATCCCAATACCTCGTTCAGTCTCATTATCGGCAAGTCACTTTACTCGTACCATAATGCATGATCCCGTGACCAAACACTTGGTCACTTTGAGCTCATTATGATGATGCATTACCGAGTGGGCCCAGAGATACCTCTCCGTCATACGGAGTGACAAATCCCAGTCTCGATCCGTGTCAACCCAACAGACACTTTCGGAGATACCTGTAGTGCACCTTTATAGTCACCCAGTTACGTTGTGACGTTTGGTACACCCAAAGCACTCTTACGGTATCCGGGAGTTACACGATCTCATGGTCTAAGGAAGAGATACTTGACATTGAAAAAGCTCTAGCGGAACGAACTACACGATCTTGTGCTATGCTTAGGATTGGGTCTTGTCCATCACATCATTCTCCTAATGATGTGATCCCGTTGTCAATGACATCTAATGTCCATAGTCAGGAAACCATGACTATCTGTTGACCAACGAGCTAGTCAACTAGAGGCTCACTAGGGACATGTTATGGTCTATGTATTCACACGTGTATTACGATTTCCGGATAATACAGTTATAGCTTGAATAAAAGACAATTATCATGAACAAGGAAATATAATAATAACCCTTTTATTATTGCCTCTAGGGCATATTTCCAACAATAATAAGCGACGACGATAGTATAGAACAACAACAGTAAACAACGACGGCACTACAGTGCATATTGAACACACCCATACAAAAATATTCGCCGGACGTGCATTTTTTTAAACATTTACAACTGTAGGAAAACATGGACTATTATATTCAAACAAGTTGACAACGACAGAAGTATGAATATGAATAATTCAAATTTAAAGACGACGGCATGAAGACAAAATAATAATCCAAATGTCATTCTCGACTTAAATATTCAAAATAGTAGTGCCTTCTTCATCACAAGATATCAAGAGTCGAAATAAATGAAACCATCATTTGAGCCTAGAAAAATTTCTAGTACATAAATTTTGCCGCATTTATTTCTTCTTTGCAAGCCGGGTAACTTTGTCCTCCACATCGTTGAGCGTATTTCTCTCCGAAAAAATAAGCTGCGCAATCATTAAGTCCCTTGATTTATTAATTGACTCCTGTTACAACTTCATATTAGTACAATCCAAATAGTATTACATAATAAATTTAATTAAATATAAGCATTTGAAATAAAACCAGACTTGCGAAAAACGGCTTGTCCATTTGTCACCGTTCCAATATTGAAAGCATCGAAGAACAAATATTCCACATGAATTGTTGGTCCATACAAACAACGGTTCATACTTTCACATTTCAGGTAAGATATTAAAATAATATGAAAGTATATACTCACCCGTCTTCTTGTTGTGACATCTTATATGTTTTGATAGGCCAGGTAGACACATCCGGATAATTCACAGCACCGCTCGCATTCGCATCACGTATGTCATATCCAAGTTGTTTTCTCTGTTCATATAAATGATAGCATGGAAAGGATTTAACATAGTTCAGTTACTAAATGATAGTTTCAATATGCTCATGTAAATTTATGATGTACCAGCTCCTCAACTTTGTCTTTAATTTCTCTGTCAAGTTCGGGTCCCATCAAAGAATCAAGAACCTAGAACTCTTCCTTCGGGCGATGCATGACGACCGAAACCTAGTGGGTATTTCCCTTATTAATAGGAATATAAGTCTGTATCACAACGAAAATATGATGTAATCAACATATACTGTCTTCTTATTTATATCCCATATATGCATACATTAAGCCAGTCAAACTTACCTTATCTTTTTAAAAATACTCATCGGTGCATCTTTTCACGGGTCCATTCTTCTTCGCCACAACTTCGTTCTTATTTTTTCCTGGCTCGGTGCCAGTCTAAATTCAAGTAACCAATTGACCAGCCAAGTCGGCATTATATGACGATCGTCACCAACAACTCCCAACAGATACGACGAATAAGCGTTGATAACCTGAAAATAATTTAAATGATGTATAACAATTCCAATTTGCATTGAACGCTAATATAAAACACAACAATAACTTACATCACTGGTTAGCCATTGATGGTCAAAAATCTTACAAGCCCTCTCTGTACTGAGACCTTCGCGCATGCCATCATTGAATATTTCCTTCTTTCTATGTTTTGTTGACTGCTCATAAGCACGGACAAACTTAACACAAGCTTTAATCACATCGTATTCATCTTGAAAGACTTCTTTCTTGAATAGTTTTGCAACACATAATGGTAATATGTTAATAAATCAATGATAAGTAGTAAGTTCATCTCGAAAACAATATGATAAAACTCACTTGCTTTTGCAGAACGTTTTGCACGCTTAGTCGGTATAGCTTGCACATAAGGAGACTTCATAAGGTTTGATACCTTGCACTTCCGTTTCCCTACAACCTCCTCGGGTACCTCATCTTCTCTAATAGAACCTACGGATCCACGTGATGCGATTTCATCTGTTCCTAAAGATGTAACGGATTTCTCATCACATACCTCAGGAACTTCGATAGGATCTTCTTTATCACCCTTGAAACTATCCCAATATTCAGGTGTGCAATAATAAGGTCTCTTCTCTTCAGAATCATTAAGATCATCTTCATCATCCTCTTGCACATTCTTTTTTGCTGGTGTTTTGAAATTGTCCACATCAGGATGATATACCCATTCTTTACGAGGTTCTCCACCATAGTTTCTAGTTTCACTATTATCACCATACTCATTCTCTTCTTCTTTCTCAATATCACCGGCTTTGTAGAAGATGGCGCTTTTGTTCAATTTCTCTATGACCCTCTGTGATTACAAATTAGTTGTAGTTACTTATGTGACACATCAAAAAACAAAGTGAACGACAAAATAACAAAACTTGTACGTGTGTGCATAGCTCCGGCATACGAAGCATGTCCTTACGAATGTGCTTCAGCTCAGTCAAAATCCAATCCATAATAGGGTTCTGGGTAGCGGAAGCCTCAGATGTACTCACACCTGTTCTCCTTCCTGCAATGTTAGACTTTCTCGTACTGGATTTCTTGTTTTTTTTCAGCCTGTTCCACCCTAATTTTGTTTAATCAGTACTCTTCAGTAATGGTGTCATCGATCTACAACATAAAGAATCATACATTCATATTTAATTAATAATTAATTGCAGACTTTAAATGAAAAAAATTGAACATATTACCATCCCAACACCACGACCATATTCAAAGGCGTACTTGTCTCTTTTCTCCGCTGCCTCTTCTTTCCAGTTCCTCATCAAGGGGCTCAACAACGCTAACGGATCATATTGCGGACCGGTGCTTGGCTCCACCTTCTCCCAATATAGATACTGCAAAACAAAAAAGACAACCATTTAGTATGTATTACACTATTATTAGATAATACAAATATTCAATTTAATAAATAAATCATACCTGCAGAAGTGCTAGGTTGCCACGTGGCCATTCCCTGACACGGTCGGGCTGCAAGACCATATCAGTCTCCGACAAACAAAACCGCAAAGTGAATGCATTCCAGTTGAACTTTTTTATCAACCTGACATCTTACACTAGTGCATAATAATTCTTTAAAATGTACTCATCAGACACTGGTGCAATTATAGTCCCTAACAGGACGAGAAACGCCATCCGAACAAATTCATCGTTCGCGTTTTTATTTCTCACAATCTTCTCAATAAGATCATCAATCAATATTTTACCATTCTTCTTGTTAACAAAATTGGCTGGAATTTTATTGCTTTGCCTTGGTCCATACTCAAAAATCTAGAAACACCCACTCCTTCATTCTTAAAACCAAATATAGCGAACACATCATCGGGCCTCAGTGAAATCAACCTTTTTTTTCTGGCTGCCTCTTGGACCATGAATTTTTTACTACTAGGATTGAAACCTTGAATCATAAGTGCAAGCAAATTATCACGCATCTTCACCGAAGGTATTCGTAACATGCCCTCCATCTCCGTTTCGTAAAATGTAAATCGCTGACTTGGTGTTAACTTATTAACAAGACTAACCCACTTTTCTATGCAACATGCAATCACAACATCGATGTCCATACTGCATATAATAATATCTATGTGACGTTGCATGCAACTAGATGTTATATTATGATGAAAATATTAAAAGAAATACCTACCCAACGGCGACTAGTGTGGGCGACGGTGACCACTGCGGCTGATGGCGGGCGCTGACGGCGGGCGCTGACGTCGACTAGTGTGGGTGATGACGGGCGTTGACGGCGGGCGAAGCTGTCGGGCGGGGAACGACAGTGTGGGCGGCGGTGGCCGACACGGATTAGATCGGGCGCGTCTTCGGCACGTACGAGGCAAAAGTGCACGCACGACGTGATTGGGCATCGATGTCCGCGATTGTTGAGAATATTCCCTCGGATAGCGACGACTTGTGGTGATATTTCTGGGGTCGGGCCCGCGGCGATTAGTTTGCAACCAATACACGCGATGTGATATAACCGTCGGTCCTGATTTAGTCCAACACCAGTGTGGGCAACGGCTCGTTGACTTATTTATATATTTTTCTAATCAAATTTTAATAAGCGTATGTCTCCAGTGAACCTTTTTTCCTTTTTGTCAAATACATGATTTTTGTATTCCCCCTTGTGTTAGTGTATGATCATTTATTTTACGTGTAATTATTGTTTTAAGATTGCTTGAAAAAAATTTGTTTTTATTTTTCTATGATTTTCTGGGCCGAAAACCCCTAAAATATTGCCCGGACATGACGCAACGTGCGTTCGTTGTCCGATTTCGTTCATCTTTGGTGTGCGGTACCCGGGCAGGGCCCCACACCCGCTGCCAAAAGTTGGGTGCATTCCGTCAAATCACTCAGGCACTTGGTGTGGAAGGCATGGTTGCGGTATGGGCGGAGGGGACCCTCGGTCGTACGTCTCTCCACCGCATCCGCCAAACTGGCTCATTTTTTTTCCACCTGCCACAGTGACCATGCAGGACACGCACGCCAAAATTTGTTGCGTTTCGAGGCTCTACGGATTTTCTTTGATTTTCCGAGC